TATTATTATTATTATTACTATTATTATTATTATTATTATTATTATTATTATTATTGAAAGATATTTGACACGTTATATCTATCGGCAATGCACATTGCCTAGCTATTTGAAATCTTTACGACGGATGTCTTCCATGGTTTCTTATGGGATTTTAAAAGCATTTGTCTGTCATATTTCTAGTATTAACATGTAAAATATGTCACTATAATTGACGGCTTTTGCGGTAAAAAAAAAAAATGAAAATGAAAAACAAACAAAAGAAAACCTTAATAATTAATGTGAAATATTTGTGGTCTTGTTAAATAAAGCTAAGATAGCCGGCTTTTTTTAAATCTTTTTCAGTCACTTCCCTTTTTATAACGTTAAATTATTTCGAAGCTCATGCAAATTTAACTAAGTAATCGATCCTAGGAGAATCTTTCGGTTTTATCACAGTCTTCAAATAACCTTTTATTATGATTCTAATCATAAAGTTTAAGCTATTCATTCAACATGATGTTTTGACCATTAGTTCTTATTCATTCCACTAACTTCCTATAAAAACGCCATAAATTCAGTTGTAGCCTAATTACAAAAATTAAATTTAAAATCTTCTTATTCATTATAACGGAACAGGATTGCCGCTAGCCCAAGAAAATACTAATTTCTGTAAAAATTCTAATACGTATATTCATCCTAATACGTATATTTAAGCACATTTTATTTATTTTAAATTCTCACTGGTAATGACGAGAAACAGGTATTTTAAAATTTCAAGCATTTAAATAAAAAATAGGTCTTACCACATCGTTTTTCCAGGACTCAGTTTAACCTGACCTTGAAGCTCTCTGGTTCTAAATACAAGAAGTAATTACTAAATATTTGATTCTATGGTTTTCCGAACCAATATTGATCATGAATTATTAATGAAGATGCTGTGCTAACAATGAAGATATAAATATCAAAATTCCTACTCTGAAATGGGTTTCTTATTAGTTTTTGATTGGTTGCTTTACATTGCTTGCGCGACTGTAATTGGTTGTTACAGGGGAAGTCATTTGTGTTTTACATTTTCATCCATTTCCATTAATTCTTTACGATGCAAACGCACGTACGTCTATACTAAAAACCCTTATTAGTGGTCAAGTCCGTCCTGAGATAACCAGCTGTATGTGAATGTATGGCCCCTTCTTAAAATTATGCGAGGCTAAAATCAAAACACAAGAGAAATCACATTTTTCCTTGAAGGAATTTCTTTTAGTTTTTGTTTTTAGTTATCCTCGCATGCAAGATAATTTTGAGAAGGGTCTATAGATTATCTGATAACATCAACATATTTAAAACAAAGCTCAAGACATATTTATTTCAACTTGTTTATCAATAATATAGTTTTACTCTAGAAGGCATTTAAAGCTTCTTATGTAAATTCATGTTTTGCGCTATTTCCATCTACTTTTTTAGTTATGTATCTATATTGGATTACATATATTTCATTAGTTTTAAATTTTCTTTTTCTGCTTTTATAATTTTGACTTTTTGTTGTAAAAAGCATTGAGTTTTAGAAATAAGTTTTTAAAAAAATAAACGTTATTCAGTAATGTTATTATTATTCAAAGACCTTTGATTTTTTTTCAATGCAATGACATATTTCGCGATGAGTTCTATAACTAGGTTGTGTCATATATTAGAGCGATTTTCATGTTTGAGCGACCTGAATATCTTTGTTGCTTCCAACAGGTTAAAAAATATTATAAACTAACTTGGAGTAACTGGAGTGACAAATACTCAATATATTGAATTCTTGGTCTAAAATTGCAGAACTCCTAAAATATAACTTATGAAAAATTCATCGAAAAGTATAGTTTTAATAGGAAATCTAAATGAAAGATGAAATCCGTAAATATGCGTAAATTAAGAAATTCTTACGTCCAACAAATGCTTAAAAATCATCATAAAAACCAGTGTGTTAAAAAGAGATCAATTTTACAGACATTTATATAGTTTATATGTTATTTCCAGCTTGTCTCATTACTATTCCGTTTCAGTCATCCCCCCCCCCTCCCCACCCTTTTAAAAAAACAAATGAAACAGAGATTTGAGAAAAATTAAAATACTCATTTAAGTCAAAGTGATATTCTCCTTTTGAAAAAATGTCAAAAAAAAATTCCAGCAAAGAAGAGCGCGCGGAACTCGAGTCTTAATTGTTTAGTTGTATGTCYGTGTTTGATACTTGGCGCCCATCCACACGTAATGGGAGACTTTTGAAAACTGATTTTCATATTAGTTTATTTCCGTATTGGCCTTCCGTCCACATACAACCGGTGAATTCGCTACTGGAAAATGCAACCCTTTCGAAAACGGATACGCGTGGAAGAGCTTTAATAAAAAACTTAGTTATACGTGTGATACTTGCTTGCCATATTGCCCACTAAGTAATCTATTTTCGACACATTTATTGAACAATATGGCACGCGGAAAAATACATGCATATCAATATATTTAGACATTGAGAATCAGTTTCTAGAAAGCGCGAAAAACTACAAATCTACCACCTTGGCAGTATTCAACCGACTTTTTAGGAATGTGTTTAATGGTACCAAATATTAGAAAACCAATATTTCAATAAATATTGGACACCTGTTATCGATGAAACAAATCTGAAAAAGTGTGATATCCATAAATGATGTTCAAAAAAATACTCCCAAAAAAATGTCGGAAAACAAGTGAAATTTAAAAAGTGAAAAAGAAAGAAATTATAACAGGAGAAGAAAAATAATCTTTACAAGTTAAGCTAAAGACTAGTTTTGAAAGGAGTTTGAGCGCGTATAATCACGTAAGTGTCTTTCATTTTTTACTCATATATTTATAAGATTGCAATTAAACATTTTGCTAAATGTTTACATTCTTATCCTTGCGCTTTATATGATTGTCATAACTTCATTTATTTTTCATTCCGTGAAGGTTGCTACTTAAAGTCGCTTCAAAAATTATTTTGAAATCAATACACTTCCGTGACACTCGAATTTCTTCTCACCTTAAACTTGATCTTCAACAACATGTTTTCCGCTTTAAAGTTCGTGTGAATGAGATTCTGTGTTTGCTCATTGTCTTGTACATACAACTGTATTAACTTTACCTCTTAAACTCGCAAGATATTTACTTCAAATTCGAAGATAAACGACGCCATTTGAAGCCATTACTATCTTTAGTCAGTTTTCTTCGACTTGAATGTGTACTAGTATACGTATATATACTTATAAACCAGGTCGTTTTTACCCGATTGAAGAGGATTTTCCATGACTTCATAGTCTTGCGTCTGCTCCAAGTTTATACGAAATAATATCAGTTTTACACTAATAAGTATTGGAAAGGCGGTAAACAGCGGTGTAATTTTAAACGCGTATTTTAAACCCTCCCACTTACAGCTCATCATCTATAGATTACTGATTATACGCACGCAGGCTAGGTATTTCACAAAACCAAATATACGAGCTCCGTACGTAACGGAAAGTGTATGGTAAAATGAAACTTGGATGTATTTGTATTTTTTTCATTTAAAAAAAGATAAAACCTTTTTTTATATTATAAAAAGATACGGTTTATGTGTATCGAGTTAAATTCAGTAGAGTGATTTATTTTGAGATCAAAAAGCGCTTACTTGCGAAAAAAGTTAAACTGGTATCCAGAGATTATTACATTTATCCTCCGGCGTTTGCTTTACAACCGCCCAAAGAGAAATAGAACCTTCATAGTCGGGGTATTTAAAAAAAAAGAAGAGGAAAAATCCTTCCAACCTTTGATTTGTCGTTTCTTGATATAGCGGCGTTTCGAACCCTACTTTGTTTGATTCATCACTCGATGTTTAATTTTTCATCTTTCCTTTATGTCTTCCAAGGTCTCTCCAAAAATTCTCTATCAAAAATCAATTCTTTTAAATTTTAAATTAAAAATTCAAATCTGTTTGGCAGCAGTGGTTTGTCTCAAGTCGATATTCTAAGAGATTTTCATCACTCACATTTTATTATATTATTTTCATGTCATTCATTCATTTTGGTATTTTTCCTTTCATATCAAGTCGTTCACCATCTCAATATCTTTAAAGCCCCGTTTACACTAGCGATTTTTGCTGCGATGTTTTTGCGATTTTGTCCATAATAAATAATGGTAAAGAGATACCAAGATTTTCCTAGACGAATGTCTCTTTTGAAGGATGAGACAAAAGATTTCATATTTCCGAAAATTGCCACAAAAATCGCAACAAAATTCGCAGCAAAAATCTCCAGGGTAAACGTGGCTTAATATTAACAGCTAACCAATATGATATTTCATTATTATTTTGGTTCATCTTTTTTTCCTATTAAGTTTTGTCTTTTACGAATACCATCTAAACCTTGCCAACGTGTTTTCCAGTCGTAAATTAATCCCCATTACAAACATCTTTGTATAGTCAATCATAATCTTTTTAGCTTTTCGCAGAAACTACAGATTAAAACCAACGTTATCGGCTTTTGAGAACACTGTAATCTTTTCTTGTAAGTCTCATAAAATTTTTTATGCAAGACGGCTCGATGAGGCGGAAAGCAAGTGGTTAGTTTTGAACGCTATCCCTCAAAAAGCAAGATTTTTTTAAAATAGAAAAAGCTGTACTATTTTTTGCCAAAACCTTTCAAACTTTTCGAACTTATAATTTAGGATTCTCGGGTAGAAGGAAGGTACTGGTGATGAGACGGAGTTTCCTTCCCAGTTTTTCTTCTTGCCACAGGAAGCCCAGTTCAACGTTAACGAAGTTGGCTTCATCTTATACTGCTATATCTAAAAATACTTGATTAATTGAACCAGGAAGGAATAATAGACTTAGAAGCTTGTAGAAATTCTGTTGGGGGATTTTGAAAAAGCCAGGTAAAAAACTTATGCATAAGGAAACATAGGATCACGTGACCCTCTGGATTACAATCAATTCGATGATCGATTCGTGACTTAGACAAACCACATATTTTAGGTGTTTTTTTAAGAATCCGGCAAGTTTCCATGCTTCCTACAATAAAGAAAAACTTAAAACTGAAGAATAATACATTTATGAAAAGGCAGAGTTAGAAAAAATAAGGTAAAAATAAACAATCTAAAAACGTCCATTCAAATCCATCTGGCTTTGAGTTATTCAAAACCAAAAACTTGAAAATCATTGCCTGTCACTACTAAACTAGAAGTTTCCACACAAAAAAACAAATTAAATATTAAACATTATTAACTGTGGTTTTTAGAAGGATAATAATAGCGATTGTATATCTAGCACTTGGAGGTTTTTTGCGATTCCTATTCACTAATTTTAAAGAATTTTTATGGTTAACCAACGTTTCCGTTCACGTTTGCCGTAAACAACATTCTAAAAGCCCGAAGCTTAACGATACCGGCTTTACCGTCATATCCAGAGATCTTACTGAAACTATATAGATGTATTTGTCATATTTTCTTTTTGTTTTCTTTCTAAGGCAGTTTTTTTCTCTAAGGGCCGGTTCGTACGTCGAATATTTCATGCGCCGAACCAAATGCTAAAAATTAAGATCATGAAAAGTACGACGTCTGAACCAATTAAGTTTGACCATAACATTGAGATCGAACCAATCGTTAAGATCGACTGAAGCGGTCGGAAATTACGACTTCGGAGCTACTCTGATTCAAACGACGAATTTTTCATGAACCGAACCTAATGCATATATTATATTTAATCGCGAAATGCTTGACTTGGTAAAATCTAATTGGATCGACTGAATTTGGAACGACGTCTGAAGCAAAAGCAGATATTTGACGGTCTTTGGTCGATCTTCAACGTGTTAGGTTCGGTTCATGAAAAGTTCGACGTATGAACCGGGCCTTATAAGGCATGCTTGACGAGATCTTGGGTTTCCAATATGGCGGCCAAGTGCGGAATATACTTCATGTATCACCTCAACCTTTGCGTCTTGGATCTAACATGGAATTTGATTAGCGCAAAAGTACAGATGGGGATAGATCTTGAAACAGCCACTCCTTGACCTAGGCAATGCATGGATCAGTGTGTGTCACAGGGTAGATAGGGGATGGGGTCAGTAAAGTTGTAGGTTTTACAGGAAGGGGAGGACTGGGAATGAGACGGTTTATAGAAAAGTACTCAGTCCCCCTCGTCCCCCAACAAACCGTTCAGTAAATCTCAAAGCCAAGATTTCCTTTAAACATGAGATGCTGTTAAATTCAGAACGCATCGTTTGAAACGATACTCAACTAGATCCTAACGTACGACCAAGCCATTCTATGACATCTTACACAAAGTGTCCACCGGACAGTATGATAGAAAAAACCTTCAAATTTTATCGATACTCTGAAACAAACTCTGGGCGCTGATCAAAGTAAGGCCAAGGCTCACAGATTACTCACATATTTAATTAGAATTTAGCATGCTAGGTTTTGCAGAGGGAGAAAAAGCCTTGAATCAAGAAAGAGACCTTACAAACTCTAATCACGTGATGCCGAGTACAAAAATCGAACCCAGACCTCAAAAGTGAGAGGCGAGTGTACTACCGCTGCACTATCGTCCTTGACTTCCGGCATGATTCAATCTATTCTTGTCGATGACAAATCCAGCTTACAACTTTAATTACAATCTGTTTAAGACGCACTTAGTAAGCGAAATTGGACAAAACAATTTTCGATTTTCGTCCTTAACGACTCGAGTAAAAGCGGAAGGAACATGATGATTATACCATTTAAGAACTTTTACCTGTCCTTATAATTCTTCTTGATTTATCACTCTTATTAGGCTAAGAACACAAAGTCGAACAAACATATTCGTTATCTACTGTTCTTTAAAATATTAATTTAGAACTTAAATATTTTGACTCTCACCTCCCCCCATAGCAGTCGTCTCCCTTTCCCTACCCCTCCCCCTACTTAAAGAATAAACTGTCCAAGCTGGGGGTGAAAAGACTGAACGAAAATCTTTTTTGATGTTGATATTTTTCATTTTTTGACCCCCAGGTTACAGAATAACGATGATCAACTTTACAATCAGGATGCCAACATCGCTTAAGTACAGAAGTTTATTTTGAATTCTTATAGTTTACCCGTATATCTTTTGACCGGATAAAATTAAGGTCACAGCGGGAATTCAATTTAAAAGTATCATGAAGCAAAGCAGCACGAAATATTTAAACCCCACATTAAAGTTTATCCTCCAGTGCTACTCTACGCAAGCACAAGCTGTATCATGGCCGAAAAACCTTAAGACGGAATAGGAGAAGTTCAAGCCGTTCAATATTTATTTACCAATGTCCTAACAACCAGTTTTTCTTCTGCAGCCTTAACAACCTATTCTCATATGATTTTGAAATTACATATGGCTAAGATCTGGCGATACATATAAGTACAATCCAGATCCAACTATACATAAGTACAAGTCCAGATCAGCCTTTCACAACTTCAAGTCGCGTAAAAAAATGAACCAGCTCAACTAGAAACCGTGGACAGCTGTTTCGCGGCCTGTATTGGGCCTCGTCAGCACAGTGTATCTAGTGAGCTTGCAATCCCACATTGACTTTCTTTAACTAGGAATTTGAATTTTTTATTCTAAATCAATTCAATATCGTTTTTGGTCTCCTGGCTAGCATGAGAAGAAAAAAAAAATTTGAAAAATTCGACTTGTGATGTTGAGGTATTTTAACAACATTGTGGCTAAAAAGAGTTCTAGTTTTCAGTTGTATTTCTAACACGCGCATTGAGATAAAGAAGTAAAAAGATTACACAAATCAACTTACTTCGTAAAATATTTCAGTCGTTGCCGCCGGTTTTAGCTGCGTGCTTTTGTCTGAATACCATGTACAGAACCAAGTATAGAGGAACCAGCTATGAGAAAAATGATCCAAGAACGATAGCTCTGAGATAGCTATTTCCAGCAGCACTCGGACCTTTATAAATGTTTTTGTATTATCTAAAGTAAGTTCATCAAGGATCTTTGGGCTTAGCCACTTAACAACCATTTCAAAAACAGCTTTCCAATCGATCTGCACCGTCATGCGCAATCTGCGATCATGGAACTCGTTAAACCGGTTTCAAAGGCTTATTTGATTTGCAGCTCCAAGTAGTTATTCCTTTGGGGTCTTCAAAGATTTTGTGAAAAGTTTCCGAAATTTTCTTATTATCGTGTTCTAGATTATTCGATAGACCATGTTTATGACCATTTTCGAAATGAAATATGAATTAGGAAAACGAATAAATCAAGTTTAATTTAATTGTCCTTT